ACTCCAGCTTGACCGACTGCTGCCCCGCATCCACGCCACGGCCCTACTCCGCCATGCGTGTCTTGAGCGTCCGCGAACACTTGCGGGGCTTGCCCTTCTGTGCCCGCAGCGCCTTCTGGTGCTCGTCCGCCTGCGTGCGGGGCCGCTGGGCCTCCTCCGCATGCTTGGCCAAGGGCTCCTGGTGGGCTGCTAGCGCCTCCTTGCCCGCCTTCTGCACCTCCCCCAGCCTTGTCGGGCAGGTGACGGTATCTTCGACCTCGTCACCCTCCGACTCATCGAGCAACTCGGGCAGCTGCCGCTCCACCTCGACGTCGAACACCGAGGGCCTAGCGTCAGGTTGGACGTCGCGCCCGCCTGCGGGGGTGGCCTTGTAGTACTCCTCCGAGGCCTTCTCCCGCGCCGCGCTGGCCTCATAGGCCTCCTGCAGCTCGTCACGCCGCTGGGTAGCTTCGTCCAGCGGTTCCATCCGCCACCGGGCCTCCTCTTCTGCCTTGAGGAGTTCCTTCCTCGTCTTCTGCTGCGCTCACTTTGCCTGCGAGAGCGTCTGGCGCAGGTCCTCGGGTTGCTCCACAGGCGGGGGTGGTGCTTGCACGGCCTTTACAGCGGCCTCGCGCATCGCCTGGCCCACCCTGGAGCTCTGTTTCTCCGCGAGGGACAGCGCGTGCTCGAGCGATTTCTCGCCAGGCTTGGACCCCCCGCCGCTCGGACGCTGAACTGCCAGCGTGGCTCCGTCCGTGGTGGGTGCGGCTGTGCCGCGAAGGTTTGTCCGAGAAGGGGTCCAGCCACTCGCCGCACTTGCAGTTCCTGCCTTGCTTGTCCAGCCTCCAATTATACGCCCAGTGGCCGCGCGCATTGCAAACAGTGAAAGGTATGCTCTTGGGCATTGCCAACTGAACTCTGACAGAGGCACGAGCGTGCCCATTCGAAACGCGTCTCTCAGCACGCTCGAAGACCACAGCGGCTTGAGCCAGGGAGGAGGAGGAAACGGAGCAGGAGGACAAGGAAGAGGAAGAGGATGAGGAAGAGGAGGAGGAGGACGAGAAGGATGAGGATGAGGATGAGGAGGGAGGATGGGGATGTGACGACAACGGTTTCGCGCGTGGAGGGGGTGGAAGGCGAGGAGTGGTGGAGGAGGAGGAGCCAGAGGATGAGGTTGAGGTGGTGGATGAGGAGGAGGGGGGTAAGGATGAGGAGGAGGAAAAAATAGGGAGGCATAGCAAACTCTAGTTTTGCGTGGCAGTGCTGGAGGAGGCAAAGAGGGGGACAGCGCGGATGTTTTTTTGTTGATTGTTTTTTTCTGGCCATCGTTCGGACGTCCATTCCATGTGCATTTCTCGATTTCACGCGCGCCGTTCTTCTCGAGGTGACCCGATATGCTCATCGACGGCACTCGCCGAAAAAATGCACACGTCCGAGCGATACCACGCTTTGTTCAAAACCCGCCACAGTGCAGGCCCAAAATTCCCAAACTTGGTGGGTTTCGCGACGGTCGTGCCCCCTGGGTTCCGGGAGGTGTTCTCGCATGACTGTTCCAGGGCCAAAAATGCCCCAAGACGGGCCAAAAAACGCCTTATGCGGCCTGCACGACGGCCGAAGAGGCCCTGGAAACGCCCACAGATCGGCCCAAGACCCCCAAGATGGCCTCACAACGGCCCAAGCGGGTTCCAAGACGCCCTAAGAGGCCTCGAAAAGGCCTCCCAAGAAGGCCCCAAGGAGCGAAAATCAGTAATTGTCTTTCGGCTTTCGATGGGTTGTGGCGTTCTCGCTTTCTCGGTCTCCGACGCCCCAAGACAGGCCAAGAGGCCCGCAAAACCACTGCAAAACGGCGATCCCAGACGGCCCAAGAGGCGCCCAAAACGGTCCAACAAGGCTTCAAAAGGGGCCCATGCGACGGAGCATGAACCGAACATCCTAGCCTTCCGCCCCAAAAGGCCCCCAGGAGGCCCCACGAGGAGCTTAGGAGGCCCAGAGAGGCCCCCCAAAGGCCCCAAGAAGCCAAACAAACTATCCAAAACGAATCTCAAAAGGTCAAAACTGCCTCCACGAGGTCCCGGAGAGGTCCCCCACGAGATCACATCCCAAGATGCACCAAGGAGGCCCTGAAACGTCCCCACGAGAGCCCCCCCAAGGCCCCCAAGACGCCTCAAGAGGCTCCAAAAAGGCTTCGAAGAGGCCTCAAAACTGCCTCCACGAGGCCTTCGGGAGGCCTCCCACGACATCCCGACAAACAGCATAAAGTCCTACGAACTACAACCCAGGCGCGGTTGCGGGATGGGCGAAAGGCCATTCGACAACTTATGTCAGTGCGGACTTGAAGGAGGAGGAGGAGAAGGAGGAGGAATAGGACATGTTTTTGGCATTCGCTTCGGGGTGAACTAAAGCCAGGCGCGTTCCTCGGACAACAGCTGACCCCCAGACCATTGCCTGGGGCGCTGCCGGTTCCGATTCGGCTACCGGCCCCTGCCCCAGAGGGGGGAGAGGAGGAGGAGGAAGGTTGGAGAAACGGAGGGGGAAGGATATCAACTGCTATGCACTGGGGTAACTCACTTCCCACATTCTAATGGGCTGACCCTCATAGCAAAGCGAGACCTGATCTTCCCACCATAAGGGATGAAGAAAACAAAGACTAGGGGGTTACTTCGCCGGACTTTCCTGGACCCCTGATAAAAAGTACGAATGCCCACCCAACCATTCCCCTCTCAGACAAGAACATCCCGTGGACGCCAACGTGCAGGTTCGGCCTTTCAGGCATGGCGCTGCCGTGGCACGACCCGCCAGGAGAGGGCAGAGTTTTGCAACTTAGCCCCGGCTGCCAATTCCATGCGCTGTCTGGTGGGGGAGAATGGGATAAACTGGGCTGATGAGGAGGAGGGAGGACTGGAAGGATTCAGGCTGCAAGACTTCGCTTGCCTGCCTGCTGGCCTACAAGATTACTTGTGCCATATTTGCTAGGAAAATATGCACACGACGCTGTTTTGCTCACCCTCACAGCAGTATGAATGGTCCCTGAAATGACTTGCAACTGCACATCCTAGGGCTGCACAAACCGAGGGGCCTGGACAACATTTGACAATAATGGCTATACGCTGCGCGTTCAAGCGCCTGCGGCCGTCACGATGATGAGGGTGAGCTGAGAGAAGCCATGCTTGGCTAAGTGTGCCTGATTCGATTGCATGCGAGCGAATTGTTTCAGTGTTGCCAGCAAGGTGGCTTAGACGTGATATTAGACATGGATAAGTCCACATCAAAAGCGCAGATACGACCGCATTGAAAAGGACATGCCGTAAACATTGATAGCTCACGCCAAATGGCCTTCTAGCCAAGCTGATGCGCTCCGCAGCCTGAGGTCATTTCCCCAGACGTGCTCACTACTTGTAAAATTAGGCATTGACTTGAGGGACTCTTCCCTCATGTTGCTGTCTCTGCCGACTTGCTGTTCTGGGCTGGATATTCCAAGCCCCTGGTCTGCTTGAGCCTCTTGATCTCGTCCATCGCATTGTCGAGCTGCTCTGCCAACGATTTGATGCGAGCCTCCTGTCAATTCTGCTTGAGCTCTTCCATTCTGGATAACGAACGATCGTCTTCGCTGGTTACCTCTGGATGGGCTTCGGACTCTGAGCTAGAGTCCTTGCGCTTGCGCTCCGATGGGAACACGGGCATTCTGGGATCTGACGGCCTCCTAGCCTTCTCCCTCTTTGACTTCTTCGATTTCTCGTCCTTCTTTGACTTTGTGTGAGCCTTCCTAGGCTTACGAATGGTTCTGTCCTTAACCTGCTTCATGGAGAGCGGGACGACATGGCTGCTATCTGTGTGAGCGCGAAAGACACTGAGTGGCCTCCTGGGAGGCTGGTCTGGGAAATTGCTGACCTGGCCAGCCGCCTTGAGAAAATGGCAACTTGAGCCAAAATGGCTACGGGGGAGGAGGAATAGGAGGAGGAGGAGGAGAAGAAGGAGGTGGAGGAGGAGGAGGAGGAGGAAGAGGAGGAGGAGGAGTCGGGAGGGAAGCATCGCAACAATTTTTGTACTTCAACCACGGATTTCTTCAGAAGGAAGAGAAAACGGGAGATGGACGGCACACGCGCTCGACCAATGGCTACCACGGGGTGTTGGCAAGCAGCCCTGCCGCAGGGCAGGTCTCCAGATGCACCTGGAGGCCACAGACAATCCTCCCAACGCCCACATTCCTCGTGTGCCCGTAGGGGGCACGGAGCGGGGACCTCGAGCGCTCAGTGCTGCTGCGGCTGCCGAATTCGTCTCTCGATCGGCCATCGCTGCCGATGTCGGCCACGCTGCTCCCGCCTCCCGTGCCGCCACGCTGCTCTTCGCCAGCCTTCTGCACGTTTCTGTTTTCTGCTCAACCCCGCGGCCGACCTCACAGCTCGAGTGTTGCCAAAGGTGTCCCTGACCAAGATGTCCCCAGCTTTTCCAGCCATTTTGGGGCCTTGGGACCTTCTGGGCCTTGTGAGGGGTGCTCCGGAGGCCCCCTGGGCCTCCCTCGAGGCATCGGGGTCGCCCTGGGCCAAAGGCACCTCTGGCAGCACTCGAACCGGTGGGGGACAGAAGAGCGGCACGCCAAGGCTCCACAATGCCACGGGAGTCAGCCTGCAATCAGAGGAATCAGGTGAGGTGGAGGTGAAACGCAGCGCCAGAGAGCGTAGAGCCGCTAGGTCACCAAGCTTCACGCATCGTGCCCCGCGATGTGTAGTTCTCTTCGCGCCTTCGCGAGGCCACCTTGGAGGATGGCAGCACTCTGGCCCAGTCCGCGACGCGCGAAGCGCGATTGTCCTCGCGCCGCTGCGGGTGACCTACGTAGGGTCACGCTGTTCCTCGCCCGTTCACAGTGCACGCGTTTCCACCGTCCACGTGTTTTGCTGGGGAGCCCAGGGGGGAAGTGAGAGCGGGGGGCCTTCTGAGCAGGCCCGCCCCTTCTCACTTGCCCCCTGCGCTCCCAGCCAATTGCTGGCGCTCCCAGCCAATTGAGAGAAGGCAGAGGAGGAGGCCTTGCCCGAGAGGTAGAACACGTGCGGCTGCCGGTGGGCCTGCGGTTCGCACGGGTGGCCAAAGACACCCTCGCTCGAACGCAATGCTGCTCTGTCTCCTCCTCCACTGCCTCTTCTGTCTCCCCGATCATCACCGCCACCATCATGACCGTCACCACCACCACCACCATCATAACCATCACCACAACCACCATCACCATCAACAACATCATCATCATTATCATCAACAACATCATCATCATCACCATCACAATCACCATCACCATCATCATCTATATCAACATCATCATCATAAACATTATCCTCATCCTCATCCTCCTCCTCCTCATCATCATCATCACCATCACCGTCATCATCACCATCATCATCATCATCACCATCACCATCGCCATTGCCATCACCGTCACCATCACTTTCACCGTCACAATCGTCCTCCTCCTCCTCCTCCTCATTACCATCCTCGTTCCCCTCATCACCACAATCCTCACACTCACACTCACCATCATCATCATCATCATCAACATCATCGTTATCGTCGTCATCATCATCATCATCATCATTGTCATCATCATCCTCATCCTCATCCTCATCCTCATCTTCATCACCATCACCATCACTTTCACCGTCCCCCCCCTGCTCATCAACATCATCATCATCATTAGCATCATCACCATCGTCGTCGTCAGCATAATCCTGCCCATCAAAATTTCCATTCTCAGCTTGGTAATCATTCTCATCCTCATCTGCATCAGCATCATCATCACCACCACCATGGTCTGCACCATCACCCTCAACCCTGTCAGCATCATAAGCTCCATCACCATCGCCATCACCAACATCACTCACAATCGTCTTCCTCCTCCTTCTCCTCCTCCTCCTCATTACCATATTCCTCCACCTCATCACCACCACCCTCACACTCACCCTCACCCTCATCATCATCATCACCATCGTCATAATCATCATCATCATCATCATCATCATCATCACTCTCATCATCACCACCATCATCATCATCATAATCAGCATCAGCATCCGCATGAACAGCAACACCGCCATCACCATCATCATCGTCATCATCAGCACCATCACCATAACCATCACCAGCATCATCCTCACCACCATCATCATCAACATACTCATCATCGCCATCACCATCACCATCATCGCCATCGTCACCACCATCATTACCACCATCACCGGTAACATTGCCCCATCAACATCAACATATGCATCATCACCACCATTATCATCACCATCACCACCGTCACCATCATATCTCCAACACCATCAACAACATTAACCGCATCATCATCGTCACCATCATCACCGTCACCACCACCATCTTCATCAGCAATATCATTACCATCACAATCATGATTACCATGATCACTAACATCATGTCCCATCAACGTCACCATCAGCATCGCCGTCAACAACATAATCAGCATATGCAGCATCAGCATAACAATCACCATCAACATCATGATCGCCATCACCCTCATTACCATCACACTCGCCATCACACTAACTACCCCCACCATTACCATCACGATCACCATCACCATGAGCACCACCACCATCACCATCACCATGAGCACCAACACAATCATTATCATCATCACCAACATCGCCATCACCATCCGCAATATCATCGTAATCATCAGCATCGTCATCATCACCATGACCATCGTCATCACCAGCATCATCTTCACCGCATGATCATCTTTATCCTCGTCTCATTTTCATCCTTACAATCTGCATCCATCATCACTACCACACCTTGAACAGCATCAACACCAACATCGCCACCATCATCATCATACTTTTCATCATCAGCATCATCCACATCCGCATCATCAACATCATCATCACCACCACCAGAAATATAATGATAATCATCACCATCACCTCATCATCCGCATAGATAGCCCTTATTAACAACAAATAATAATCAAAACAATCATACGAATCGTAATGTTTCCCCTAATTCCTTCCTCTGCCTCCACAACTCCCAACGCCTCCCCGTTATCGTCCTACCCCCCTCATTCCTCCCTCCCTGACTTCCTCCTCATTCTACTTGACCTTCCCCTTCTCGCCCTCCTTAGAATGCTCCTGGCCGCATTCGCAACTTACGCTGTGATCCCTTACCTTCTACGTCGCTTCTGGTGCAATAATGCCCCTGCTCGTCCTCCTCCTCCTTCTCCTTTTTCACTCCCTCAACATGGTTCCGCAAGGCATCTTGCTCTCGTGTACAACGCCACCGCCCGGTCGTTGTAAATGGGTCGTGCAGCATGCGTTTACCGTAACACACCCAACGAAGTGTGGATTTAAATACGCCAGTCCCCCGACGACTCTTTGATGAACACCCTCGAGGGGTAACAGTAGGGGGGGTCCTTTGCGGTCTCCAGAGGTCTCCTTGCGAAGTCATTGCAGTTCTCTGAGACATCCTCGGGGCTCCTGGCAAAATTTTCTGGGCTCCTTCTCGCGAAATCAGCAGGGCTCCTCGAGGAATCCTTGGGCCTCCCGTCGAAACCCTTGAGGCTCCTTCGGAAAACATCGGGGCTGCCCGAGGAATCCTTGGGGCCCCTTGAGAAACCGCTAGGCCTCCCTTAGAAACCGGCGCTAGTCTGGATGAGCATGGCGGACTTTCGGCACTCCTCCGTGCTCGGAGTTCCTTCCTTCCTCCTCGTCGTCGTCCTCCTCCTCCGCCTCCTCCTCCTCCTCCTCCTCCTCCTCCCCTCCGCCTCTCAGTGCGGGTGCCTCCTTTCCCCCTCCTCCTGTTAGTGAGGATGCCTGGAGCTGAAAAGCCCTTGGGCCTCCCCTATCCCTCCCCCCCCCCTGGCACCCCTGGCCACCTGCAGGGGCGCGTCCGCGTCGGCGTCGCCCGGAGCTCCTCCATCCGCAGGGGCGTCCTGTGGGGCGGGTCGCGCGAGCCAGGGGGCGGTTGGGGGGGCGGGAGGGGAGGGGGGGGCAACGGGCGAAAGAGGTGGTGGGAGGAAGGTCAGTGGGGCAACAGGGGGGGGGGGGGGGGGACATGGGGCGACGCGGGAGCAGGGGGACAGGGAGGGAGAGACGGGGCGGAGGAGGAGGAGGAGGAAGGAGGGGAGGAGGGCGGAGGGGAGGAGGCGAAGAGAAGCGAGGAAGCAGAGCGACGGGGGGGGGTGAAGAGATCCGCGACGCACCAGGGGCGGGCTGGCCCAAAAAATGTTCCTGCTCCTCCTCCTCCCCTCCTTCTCGTCCTCCTTCCCGCCTCATCCGTCTATCTTTCTCGTCCTTGTCCTCCCTTCTTCCCTCAACCACGCGATGAGGAGGAGGAGGAGGAGGAGGAGGAGAAGGAGAAGGAGAAGCAGGAAGAGGATGAGGAGGATGAGGATGATGAGGATGCTGCTGATGATGATGATGATGATGATGATGATGATGATGGTGATGATGCTGATGCTGATGCAGATGCTGATGCTGCTGCTGATGCTGCTGATGATCAAATGCTCCACTGCACGAGGTCTCCTCCACACGCCGCGACTGGAACGTAACCAGCACGGCGCTAGCACACCAACCCCACTGGGCGCGAATTTGGTGGTGGTCAGAGGGGTCTCCCTGATCGGCCCCCGTTCGCTCGCACCCCGCCTCAGCCAAGAGCCCAGGACCAGTCAACATCGAATCGGGAAATTGGATCGAATCTGAGTGTGGTGTCTGATCGGTCTGCACATGCACAGCAACGCTGCGCAAACATCGGGCCACATCGGATCGGTTGAATACCGAAATCATATCGGATCGAAAAGGGTGGAATCGCAATCGATTCGGATCGATGGGATCGAAATGGGCACCGCCCCAACCCGCCTCCAACGTCATCATGCTCCCGCGCAGCCACGGGTCCGCGATGAACAGAGTGATCGCGAAGGCGGGCGTCGTGCCGCCTGGACAACTGGACTGGGCCTCCTCGTCTTCTCACGGGGGAGCCCCCTCCTCCTGGTCTTCCTCCACCTCCTCCACTTCCTCCTCCTCTTCCTCCGTCTGGCCACCCGCGGACGTGGCGGTCCTGGCTGCACCGCATTGATTATGACTGCCTTGCCTTCCAGTGAGTCGAGTGTCAAATATTCATCAAGGTGTCTCGTGCGAGATCCCGATGTTGAAAAAAAACCGTCCTCCAGCCACATAACTGATACATGTGTTGGAACTTCTGGCCGCTAGATCAGAAGGCATCTGACGAAAGATCTGATCTTGAAAACGACTTCAACGTCCACCCGTGTAACTGCTGCATAAGTTTATAGTGTGATCATTTGTTTTGAAGAAGTCAGTCGCACACTATGTCCAACCTTCTTGAAACATACAACAACTCATCCCGCGTTTAAGACGTATGTGCGCGGTGCTAAGCCGAAAACGACCCGCCTCCGTCCGTGTAACTGATGCAAGCAACTGGGACGAAGTGATAACTCCATTTTGAAAACCACACCCCTCCATCGTTCATCTGGTGGAAATTTCAAGCCTCAGAACCGTCTGGCTGTGAGGAAGTCTCAAGCGAAACACCCGGCCCGTCTTACCCGCCGGAGGAGAAGGTGGATGAACAAGACGGGGAACTGATGAAAACCAGGACGGCAACACTATATTGTAGGCGAAGTTGGTCTGTGCATCTGCTTCGTTTTTCCTCAAGATATCCATGTATGCAGACAATGCCCGCATCGAAATATTGTCTGTCGCAGATACAAGAAGCCAAATTACACCGCTAATCAACAACACCGTTTGCCCGGCCTTCGGGGTAATTCAAGGGGAGGAGAAGGAGGACGAGGAGCGAGATCAGCAAGAAGAGTTCGGAGACAACTCCTGGGAAGTCTTCAAGGAAATATGAAGAACCTAATCATTGGACCGTTTTTAGGAAAACACTACTGCGCCGCATGAAGAAAGACGAAACCGAATAACACATGATTCAGAAGGATGAAGCTTGATTATCCAAAAGGAACTGCCAGTGCCGATGCCAAATTTGTCCTCCCAGGAGCTGCAACCCGAGAGGAGGAGAAAGAGGAGGAGCATCTCGAGGAGAAGGATCTCGAGGATTGTGGGGAGGAGGAGATGGAGGAGGAGGAGGAGGAGGAGGAGGAGGAGGAGGAGGAGGAGGAGGAGGAGGAGGGGGAGGAGGGGGAGGAGGAGCCTGCGTCCACGACCTCGGTCGCGCCCTGCAGCATGTCCCGCAGCAGCCCTTTGGGCACGCTGGGCGCGCGCCACAGCGCCAGCGTCGTTCGCACGGCGTGGGCGAAGCGGGCCCGACCGCCCGCCTGGCGACGATTCGGGGGGGTGGGGCCCTGCCATCGCTCGGACATCCACCCTCCGTGCCTGTTTCGGGCCGGTGCCTGTTTTCTTTTTCCGAGGGCTCCCAACTTCGACCATGACCCCTGCCTGCTTCGGGTGGAGCGGAGCCCCTTGACGAACTGCTTTCAATCATCGACAGGTGTGGTACTTCAATGGCTTGCATGACTTCGCGAATTTCGCCAGCCTAGCACCAGTAGTGACTAGCCGGAGCGCTGGCATATACATACAGACGACTCGCCACTACAATTAATCACGCGATATCGGCGTGAGGTGGAAGAGGAATTGCAAGAGTAATGATAATAGAGAAGGGATAGCTAATGCAGGGCAGTCATGCAGAAAGCGTGGACGATCCCACTGGGATGCCAAAACTTTGACGTCCATGTTCAGAAAGTCTGTCCGAAACAAGAATACTGTCAGTCGCGGGGCGCCCTTTTTCAATATCGAACGAGCACAGAGCTCCCAGAGTTCCATGTGCAGAGTTACTCCTGTCAGTGCGTCTATACGAATCCGATTCCTGGGCCGCAAGGTGACATGCGCCATCAGTTGATGTTCCGATGAGATATACTCAAGGTCCTTGCCCTCCAGGAAGTGCTAGGGAACGGGGGCGTGTACACCACCGCAAAGCCTCCGCAAGCCCACTCTGAGCTAGATCCTGGCGCATGCGGCGAAGCCGTTGAACACCAAGATCTGGCCCAAACTGAACCTGCGGAAAATGGGGATGGCGTATACCCAGACCTCCGACGTCACGATTTGGATCGCGACGTCTCCAGAGCATTCGGCCCGTGCTGGGGACTTCTGTTCCAACCGCGGCCGCCTTGAGGGCCCCAGAATGGCATGAAACGGTGAAACACTTGCCGCCTCTTTTGCGTGACTATCTGCCACCTCTTTTGCGCGGCCATCAAAATCTGGGTCTCCAGACATCCATCGCACTGTATTCAAATCGCGAGATCGGATCGGATCGCCAACCAATCGTCCAAGCTATAATGGCAATCGGATCGCCGCGCCTGGCTCAAGCTGGCCCTGGCCGATGCCGGAAAATCGAGCCGAATCGGAATCGCGGCCCCAACTGGCGAATCGGATCGCATCGAATCGTATCGTAGGCGGCGGCGCTGGCAATCACCACCCGTTCCCCAGGGCTAGCTGTCCATCCCGAGTCGTTCTCTGACGGTCCCAGGCGCCCAGAGAGCGCACCCACAGGCCGACAAGGGAGCAACACATCTGTCTACTTGTTCCAAAACGCTGGACGTCTGGATACTTTTCAATCAAGACCCTCCTAGGAACCTCTCAGCATCCAGCTGTTCGGGTGCTGTTGACGTTGGAAGTCTCGGTGATTTCCCTCCCCTCAGGCGCGCTCGCCTCCGACGTTGCAGCCTTTTCGTGACGCGGCCCCCTGGGGCTCCAACCACTTGCCTGGAAGGAACTTTGTTTGCGCGGGCAACGGCCCCGACGGGCCGAAAACTACAGAAAACCTGCCTTCGCGACCCAAGGGCTCCAACTTCGCGCTTCGCGCTGCGCGAAGCGCGACGTGCGAATAGTTCCGCGCTCTCGTGCCGCCTCCCAGGGGAGAAGAGGAGGATGAGGAAGAATCGGAGCCGAACCGCGAAGCGCGGATCACTTCGCGCCCTCGAGGGCGCCCTTGGCGACCTGTGGGTTGCGCCGCCCGACTCCTGACGGTGTGGCCCCCGCCCAGGTCTGCGGCGGCCTGCCAGGAGCCCCTGGGCGAACCGGGCTCCGGCGTGCCGCCGCCGCCGCCGGAAGGCTCCGCCGGCAGCGCGAGCGGTGGCACCTCGCAGGGCGCATCTCGCCCTCGGCCGCACGCACGAGGGACCCTGGGCAGGAGTTTAACTCGGGCATGACCCCTTACAGGGGGAGTTTGGACGAAACATAAAAAAGCACACCCACAATGGCCCGCCTTAAGGCAAGAGTGAGCTTTGGTGCGCGGCTGCCGGAGAGCCACGGGGGGGCCAAACCCGAGCGAGCCGGTCGCCACCATCGCACCGCGATCGGCGGTCGGAGGATCCAAACGGGCCCGCACCAGAAGTCACTCCGCCGAAGGGTCACTCTTACGTGCAGCCGACGCGCTGGCGCCGCGGACGCCGTCCGCCGCCCTCCGCCGCCCTCTGGCCTGCTCTCCGCCGTCTTCGCAGCCGCCGCCAGCGCGGCACCGCCGCTGTGGTCGCGTCGGCGTTCCGCCGTCGTCGCAGCAGCCGAGGCCGCCACGACACCCGCCGTTTATCCTGCCATCGCACAAACGTCCCTTCCCAGTGCACTTTTCGGTTTCGTGCGCTTATGTTTCGTAAAACGATCCAACAACATGCTCCTCGATGGTCCCCAAAAATGCACGCCTCCGAACAATGCCGAATTGTTGGGCAAACCAAAAGGTACCGATACCGCTACCCCCTGGACCTCTCTTGGGGTGCGCTCTGATCAAGGCTTCGAGGCGAATCCGGCGGTGGCGCCGAGGGCCCCCCAGGAGGCCCAAGAGGGGGGAAGCGAGGGGTAGAGGCAATGGGTACCTCTTCCTCCTCTGAGTTGTCGCCGCCGTTCGTCGCCGTCCGCTTTTCGCCGTCGCCGCGACAGCTGCCGCCGGCCAGCCGCCGGGCAGCCGCTGGCCGCCGCCGCAGGCCGCCGCAGGCCGACGCGGGCAGCCGCGGCGGTGGGGCCTGGTGCGGCCCAGCGCGCTGAGCACAAGTGCCGGCGGCCGCGGAGGGCGCCGGGGCGCCGTCATGGGCGTCGCAAGGCTCCGGGTCCGTCAGCGGCGGCTGGCCCACCTGGGCGGTGCCGACGTGGGCGTCGCCTCCTCCTCCTCTTCCTCCTCCTCCTTTTCCTCCTCGTCATCTCCCTCCCCCCTCCCCCCTCGCACCCCCTCCCATCTCCCTGCTCTCCCGAGCCGCTCTTCCGCTGGACAATCGCGCGCCAGCCAGGCCAGCCCGAGCTGCACCTGGACCAGAGTGGCGAGCCGGAGGAGCTGCCAGGCAGCTCTCCTGGAGCGTTGCGCAAATCGGGGCGAAACATTGGGGGGCAGCGAGGGCTGCAGAAAAGAAACCATTTGGGGCCCGCAAAGGAGCCCTTTGGGGCCCAAAAGGGGGCCCTCAGGGCCCGAGAAGTGCACCTGTCCCCCACCCCACCGCCGCATCGCCCTCCCATTGAACAACGCCCAACGACGGCGGTCGGCAAGGTTGTCGGCGCCGGCGGCCGGCAGCAGGGTCAGCGGTCGGCAGAGCTCTGGGTCCGTCGAAGTCGGCACCGGGCCACTCCCTTCCAGGAGGGCGCCGACTGTATACCTGTACCGGCCCCGGTGAAACCCACCCTGGCCCTGGGCCCAGGATGGGCCTGGCCAAGATCGGTGAGTCGAAAACATGCTGGTAAGCTTAGGTATGTGTTACGCTTCAAGCGTTGCCATATCCCAGGCTTTGGCTCATATCGCTTGAGCAAGAGAGCGAGACGAAGCATGGGATCTGGAGTAAAGGATAGAAGAGGCATCTTCAATGGAAAAGGTATTTTCCGATCTCAGATACCAGTCGTGCGCCTCGGTGAGGCACAGTCATATATTTGGCCGGGCCCGGCTTGAGCCAGGCACGGCAGCGGTACATGCTCGATTTATACCTCGCCTTTAACCTTCTCCGTTTAAAGTCGGAGGGGGAGGAGACGAGCAGGCACCGCACTTCTACATTACGCGGAAAAACAGTGCTAAGCAGCAGCGGCTGCCTACAAGGCAAGGGCGCGCGAGTAGCCTCGCTACCGGCGAGTTTCCTCGCTACTAGAGCGCACCTGCACGCGGGTTTCCCCGCTAGCTCGGGAGGCAGGGCCGTCCTGAGACGACCTGCCCGCCCTATACGGTGTATGTTTCTTCAGCTCGTGCTTGAAGGATTGCTGGCCGGCCATTACTTGTAGGAGCAACGCGCGGTCAATACTACCTTTGGTATGACCATCGGCAGTCATATCCCGCGTGTCACACCATTGAACGCTTTCAACGATTCCGCGCTCCATCATCTGGCGGATCCAGCTAATGTGCCCAAGCAGAGTACATTCTGTGGGCTTCTTCAGATCTTTGCTAGACAAAGACTTGAAGACAGACTCGGCATCAATAGTCAGAGTGACTTTGATACATAGACCACCCATTTCCAATATGTTCTTTAACTGTGTGGGGGTCAATGGTCCCGAGTGTAGCTCGTGGAGCGTTACAATGGTCGGGTAGCAGTCTTCCAAGTTGTGGGCTGCTGCCAGTGTTTCCGCAGAGTAGCTCGAACGCACCTGCAGTCGATGAGACTTGCAGTATGCGTCCACCAGGTGCACGACGGGTTTCCCCGCTTGCGTGTGGCCACGCCTCAGCAGGTTAGCCCCGCGGATACCATAGCCTTTGACTTCGTCGTCTTCATCTCCATTGAGACGGCGATAGCCAGAATCGCTATGCAGGTCAACTTCTCCTGTTGGAGTCATAGCTTGATACACGATCTTCTTCGGACCTGCCTGTAGTTTCCTGGTAACCGCGTTTAGTCGTCGTACCTGGATGTTCGTCGGTTCCTGGATACGTTGTAGTGAGACAACATAGACCATCAGCCATACCTGCGTGATCAACGCATAGGCTAGAGCGCCACGAAGACTGACGAACATATCAGAAATCGTCTTTGTCGCTTTGCTCTCAGGATCAGCTCCTGTGAGTTCTGGATGTGTGATAGGACGAAGCTGTTTGATGTATTCGTCCTGATCAAGAGTGACGCTCCCATCATCGGTCTTGTTATACCGAACGGCACAGTTTGTGTATGTGTGCTTGTTCAGTTTGCACTTCCCAAACGTATCTTCAACACACTTGACATACTTGTCAATAGCATCTTCCTTCCCAGTCATATTGATGTCATCAACGTGCTTGGCTGTCAAGAGGTTTGAGCTCATCTCGAACTCTTCGTCGTATGAAGTAGGCTGTAGCCCAA